ACTGGTGGACAGGAGGAGGAGAGCTGCTCCCGACTGGTGGCAGCCAACGGCAGGGGGGGCACTGCATGGGGCCACTGTTAGATACACAAAAAAAGCCAGAGGACACGATGGCTCAACTGGTAAGACTGCGCGCATCAGTGTGAAGTTCCTGGAACACCCTCAACTTGCTGTAGCTGAAGGGGAGGATCACCCTGTTCTTGGGAGGCACATGTGAGACATGCGGGGGGAGGGTCAGTGAGGTGATGATGACACATGCTGACATCAGGAGGAAGGCCACTGTGCCGCTCCTCTGCATCTACACTCAACATGTTCAGACTGTGAGGGTCAAGAGCAACAGACAACTGGTGTGCCATGACCGCCTCAAAACCCAAATTTCAATTTTCCTAGGATGTGTGTATGTCACTAATTTATGTTGAAACACGGCAGCAAATCAATGCCCTCCATGGTTGGTGGCAAGGGCCCCACGGCACCAAAGACGAAAGACAATTCCTTCAAGATCACCCCTCACATACTTACCAGGGGCTGGTGTGACAGAGGAGGTCAAGGAAAGCACCGGGGCCATGAGGGTATCTTTTCCATCTCTCTTCTCTACGCCCTGAAATGGAAGTCAATGCTTAGAGTTTTGGATGTCAAGACCTGGTTATGGAGGTAGACTCTCCCTGACCATACACTATCCTGCAAGGATGGTGTCAGCCACTTCCCCTTCAACACAAGTTTGACCTTAGCATGACAGTGGCTGCTCGAGCTTCAAGCCACAAAGGGGAGGGGCCCAGAAGATCTGAGAACTCTGTCAACAAGGGCACAGCCACCTTTCTGCTCCCTCCCCGGCCATTGGTGGGTTTTCTTTGTCTACACTTGAATTAGAACATTTAGGGGCCATAGAGAGGACAGCCAGGGAGCTATAAACTCGGGCCTAATTCTAACCCCCTCCTCTGATCACACAGTGCTAAGGACATCACCTGTGGTGCTAGTGAAGGAGCAGCACATAGACCAGGGTCCCCAAACCCAGGTTTGCACTGGCTAACAGCAGAGCAAGGAGACAGACCCCTGGCAGTTTGGAGCCTGACTGAGAGGAAGACTTTGCCACTGAGTGACGGAGTTTCCTCGGTGCTTGGTACGAGGTATTGGGATATCCTTTATTTTATGAAAGTTGCTCACAGAACTTGGGAAACTAGCTGTCCTAGTTAGCATTAACTGTTGACCTGACAGCCTAGAATCAACTGAAAGCCTCAACTGAGTGACTGTCTTTCACAGGTTGGCCTGTGGGCACGTCTATGTGGGGCTGTCTTGATTATGAAATGATGCCCACAGTGGGTGGCACCACCCCACGCAGGTGGTCCTGGACAAGGAAGCTTGTTCATCCTCAGCAGCTCTGAGAAAGCACTGCAGTGAAGCAGAGGGCACCCATGCTGGGCAAGGGGCAGGGAGGCTGGCAGCTCAGGCCACTCCAGCTGTCTCCCTCCTGCCCCCTTCTCACAGTACCTCAGACCAGGTGGAGCAGGTTGGGACAAGGACTAGATGCCTCACCTTGCAATTGGCCACACAAGGGAAGGCAAGAGCTATTGCTTCCCCAACTCTGTGGCTTTAAGCCTGTCTGTCCAAGAGCTGGAGCTGCCCTTGGAGTCTGTGGCTCCACTGGATCTACCTGTCCCAGGACAGTGGACAATGGAGTCACCCCCTGCTCCCCTGGCATGACTTCTATCTCCTGAGTGTCCCCAGTGTGCTGTTCACTGTTCTAGGTCCCCGGAGTATTTATTCAAGAACAGTAAAAGTCTGACAGCATGTGGAAAAAAGCATGGAAATAATTACTAAAATACCTTCAAGAGGCTCTAAGGGGAGCACACAAAATTCCAACTATGCTGTGCCTGATTTATCTTTACTGTCTGATTCGTATACATACATACATACACATATAACATATGCATAGAGACAGCTACCTTCACATACTCTGCATCTTGGAGTAGAGCATCCACCTGGGTCAAGTATTTCCTTCTTAGCTCATTTTCCAAGGGGCTCCCAGGCACTGCAGGCTGATCAAAAAGAGCAGTCAGTTCACCTGTATACCTAGAGCTGCCAGCTACCTCCAGTCATGAATTCTGGAACAATCTGGAAGCTCATGAATCTTCAAAGGAAGTTATGCAAAGTTACTTTCTTGCTTTTAGCTGCTGGTGGTGCTGACTTCCATGGACACTGTCTGACCACAGGGAATTTACCCAGTTAGGAGAAAGCAACACCCCACAAAACCCAGAACACACAAGCTGGATGTTGACAGCACCCATAGAAAAGGAGAAGAAAAAAACAAGATAGTCTCAACACTGGTGGGACAGTTTAGGGCCCAATCATTAGTAACAACCCCAACTGCCAACTTAGAGGAGACCCAGGGTTCCCACCTCCACTCTGTCCTGCATGGAGACTCCGGATCAGATGGGGTAACACACATCACATAGCTGTACCTCTGTTAAGTGCAGCAGAAGCCTCACTTCCCCCAACTGCCAGCGCCTGCAGAGCAGCGTTCCCGCCCTTCCCTCAGGTCGTTGTCTGGCTTCTCGTTAGACAGTAGACCACAGGGTCAGGCAGCTTCTTCACAAGAAGCAGTTCCGGAGGAAATGCAGGACCCAGTACTCTAGTGCCTGACAGTCCTCGCCACAAGAGCCAGGGAAACCTCCAGTGATTAAGTTCTGTGACAAGTGTCACCTACTCCAATGACTGGGCGGTGAGAATCAGAACTTAATGAAAGAGGTGATTCTCTGACCCCAGGGATACTCAGGGAAAGACACAAAGGACACTTACTGTTTAGGTCAGCGACAGCTGCCCGATTGTGTGACCTTATGAGTAGATGGACTTGCAAGGGCTGACCTGGAAATACTTTCTCATGACACTGTCTGCAGGCAAGGCTGGCTGGGAACCCAACCCCCAGCACGCAGCAGCCAGTCAAGGCCAATGGTGTGCAGTGAACACTGCTGGCAGCTCCTGTCGCACATGAACATCCCCCCTGGATTACAGTTGTCTATGCTAGGCCAGCAGAATGGAGGGAGCGGGCACTGGCTGCCGAGTGCCAGGTTGAAAAGGAAGAACCTGTGCCTTAGAGGATCTGAAAGGGACGAGAGCCCAGGGAGGCAGGGATCCTGCCCCAGGCTACCTGGTCCCTGGCAGCTGAAAAGGCACCGGAAGCCTGAGGCTGCGCATTTGTCCCTCTAAGCTCCTTACCTTCAAGGCGCAAGCAAACAGATCCTCTTTGTCTAAAGCTGCATCCACTTCTGAATCTAAAAGCCAAGGAAATTACAATGGAATTTTTAGAACAGTTTGCACCGCACAGACCATCCAAGAGTGGTTTTTGTATCACTTCAGGTATGTCTATAGTAAAAATCTATGTCGTTCCTGAATTCTCCCTTTGAATAGGACACAGCCATCCACTGTTCATGATCGCCAGGAGTCCAGACACAGGAACAGAGTCAAGTTGTGGCCATAGAGCAGCAGTTTCTCTAACACTGTAGGCCTTCCAGTGATGTCTGATCTGAGATGCTGACACTCCAGCACAGACAGATGGAACTCCCTAGGGACAACTGGAGCCTCCACCTGCTGCCAAGTCAGCTACCTGGGGCTATCAAACAGTCAGAATGAGGCTGGTCAGGCTGAGGAACTGCATCTTTAACTTTCAATTAATTTAAATAGCATGGGCACTCATGGGAACTACCACCAACAATGCAGCTCTTAGCCATTTCCAAGCGTTTGAGCATTCAGGGAAATCAGGGCTCTAAGTGCTTGTAGAGCTAGGATGCGAATCAATACTGGTAAGCTAGCAGCATCTGGGAGCAGTATCACCATGAAAGTTTTCTTTCTACCTTTACTTTGAAAGACTGGCTTTCAGTTTAGTGACTCAAAGAGTGTTCTAGACTGTCAATTGTGGGTGAGGACTCAGGAGAAGGGCTGGGCGGAGGGTCAGAGGAGTGGAAAGGCTGATGTCTGAAGCAGAGGCTGCTGTTTAGAAACCAATCACAGTGTTTAATCGCTATAGGATCCAGGGATGAAGAGCTTAGAGGTAACATCGAGTGCTCTGTCTTGGGGAAGAGGGTCCCCGTGACAATCAGGGCAGGTGTAGGCAGTTAGGCAGGTCTTAAAGACATTGTTCAAGATGCTGGCCTTACACTCCAGGAACCACAGCAGTCCTTCAAGTAAGTGGTTTGACCGGATTCTGGAGAAAGGAGCTGGGGTTGAAGAAGGAACAAGGGGTAAAAGGCGCAACACTCTGGACATGAGCAGCGAGGGTGAGGCTGAGGACTGTGGGTTTGGCTCATAAGGAGAGAACATGGGGGGAGTGGAGGGGGCATGGCAGGTCTGCTGGGTTGACTTCCTTTGGATATACTGAGTTTAGACATGAGGTGTTTGTTTAAGCAGGAAGACCACAGGGTCTAGGGTGTGATGCAAAGCACTCAGACCAACTCCTGAGAAAGTTGTGCAGGGTAGGGCTGGGAGGCAGGCTGACAGGAGGAGGACGAGAGAGGAGAGCAGGGGCACAGCCACAACTTCCAGAAGCTTCACACACCGTTAGGAGAGCAGAGGATAAAATCCAAGGGAGGTCTGAAGAGTTCACAAAGGTGTTAGTGAGAACCTCACTGACGTTTTAACCTCACTTCCGTTTTAAAGATGGAGTCTGGGGCCAGGTGTGGCGGCGCACGCCTTTAATCCCAGCTCTTAGGAGGCAGAGGCAGGCGGATCTCTTAGTTCAAGGCCAGCCTGGTCTACATAGTGAGTTCCAGGACAGCTGGGGCTACAGG